TTTGAAGCAAAACGGAGTTTTAAGAGCTGCTGTTTGTACGTCCCTGACGGCTGAGTGACGATATCAGACATGCAAGAATAAATGGCATCATGAAGATGTTTATTATGTTCCCTATCTCCCTTTTGCTCTTCCATGAGGATATTATCAAATTAACCACATTAATAATGGCATTTAGCAACCACTGAGAACTGAGCGATTAGCAACACTTGTTTTTACAGTGAAGGCGAAGAGGCAGCATCACGGCATGATGCCTGAAAACTGAGAATTTCTGAGAAACAAAATGTCAGTCATCTTGTTTTCAGTGCATCCTGATTTGAACGAGACCGTTTTCAGTAAGGAATGTGAAATATTCATGTCAACTGCACTGTTATGTATTAGCATCCTTTTATTTTCATTTTCAAACTGCTTTATGATGCATGACCAGGTTTTCACTTGGTGTAGAAAACTGATCTATGAAGGCTGCAGGTGAAACAAAGTGCCTTCAAAGATCGTGTCGTTTATTCATTTTCTTTGTTTTAACGATGTTAATTTTTTGCGTTGCTTCTATTGCATCTGTGACAGAGTTTAACTTCTCAATATTTAAGGTGAACTAATGCAGGAACCTGCTGACCTCTGCAGCCTATCGGCAAAGTTGCACCAGGAAATGGATTTCTTTGGTTTTTGCATCACAATGACCAAAACCAAAGTTGACTTCAGCGGTAGACATGGTAAGACTGAAACGGTCTCACAGTGTTATTCATAAAGCAGAGCGGTGACGCTGTGCACCGTGGTTGCTGCTCATCTTTAAAAAACGGTCACCACAAATTGGATTCAACAAATCCGCAGCTTCCCTCTGATCGAGTTACTAGTTTATTGCCTCTTATGAGTTTCCTCCGTCAGCATCCAGCAGGTGCAGGAGGCTGACGGAGAACAACCGGCTCCAGGCAGAAAGGCAGGAGACACTGGATTTATGTTTCGTTTTTTATTTCTAATAAAAACTGTTCTGTGACGATGGGTAGAATGAACCGATCAGGCACAGACAGAGAGGAGGGGGGATGAAGGAGGCTTGAGCCTTAATGCCCTTTTTGAGTTGCTGTTTTTTTTAATTTTTTTATTTTTATTTTTTTTTATGTGTGCACCAGGAGGCCTGTTTGTGCCCCTCAGTAATAATATTTAGCTAAATATCATAATTTAATCTAAATAAGCTAGTCTGGCTGCCCTCAGTCTAATAATGACTCAGTTTCTCTTCCTCCATGTTATTCAGACTCCGGCTCCATGGTGAGGAGGGGGGGAGAAAACGGGGGAGATCTGTGCCCCCTAACTATCAAATTATGGGCAAGAATATTTTTTATACACTGGTTTGTGATAAATCGTTGGTCTGATGTTGAAGTTAGAAAAACTGTTTCTATTTATGTTTTTATAATTGTCCTCGCAATGGCGGGAAAAAACTTTTGACTTTAACTTTATGATTCTGCTAAAGGCCCGGTTCACTGCAGGCAGTCTGAGTCTGTCCCACTGACAGTTAGAAAGAACATCTGTCTTTATATCAGACATCTTGTTATGAGACACAGTAACAAATATAACAATTAAACAGATATTATTAGGAGTTAATTTGTAAAATGGCAGCAGATGTGCTTATTTCATAACTTCATAACCTTTGACCTTCTCTCCTCTGGTCTGTTTAACAGACCAGAGGAGAGACTCAGATCTCAGATCTCAGTCTCAGATCAACACATCCCTCCAGGACTGTCAGCAGCAAAATCAGAAACTTTATACCTGTTGGGAAAAATATACCACATGTGTTTTGCATGTCCCTGCATGATGGCCATGATATAGTCTGATCCAATGAAATCCTGGATTAATATGGGTTGTTGCTCTGTTGTTGTTTGGTGTTTTAAGATCTTGTTCAATGTGCCCTTTTTAACTTTGAGCCCCTGCCCCTCCAAATGGCTCTGCACGGCCCTGAACCGACGGATGCTGAATATCCACCAAAAAATCTTTCTTGAGACTGAGCATGTTAAATTCACCACTGCGTATTTTTTTCTGTCTATTTTTTTTTTTGTTTCTTTTTGTATCTTTTTTTTTCTTTGCGGTGCTCTCTGTCGGCCGTCCTTGAAGCAGGGATTTTCCTGCTGGCATTGTCAGCCGAGCACGTGACTCCCAGCTTGGTAAGAAGCAAGACAACAAAAACACTTCTGCTGGAAGATGACACGAGCAAGGGTTCCCATGGCAACTGTGGGAAAGACTGGTGGTGTGAGGACGGCACCGGAGCATTGTTCTCATCCGGAGCGCTCTGAATCATCTCAGTGAGCTGTTTGCTGCTGCTGCAGCCGCGGAAGGGAGGCTGTGTGTTTGTGGAGCTTGTTTGCTGTAGCTAACTGTGTGTGTGTGTGTGTGTGTGTGTGTGTGTGTGTGTGTGTGTGTGTGTGTGTGTGTGTGTGTGTGTGTGTGTGTGTGTGTGTGTGTGTGTGTGTGTGTGTGTGTGGTTGTCTGTTTATGTGTGTGTGCAGGATACACAACGTTGCTGACTGGTTCTGTTCAGGGGCAGATTGCTGCCTGCATCTACTGGCTGCCTGAAGACGCCTCAGAGAAAACCAGGAGACTCAGCAAACTAAAGCAGCTCAGCAAAAGTTTTCTTTCTCCACGAAGCTTTAGTTATGTTTTGTCTCGCTTAGAATTTACTGGGAATTTATCTGATAAACCAACGAAACGCAACCCAGCGTTTGTATTCCCACCGCACCACCAGCTGTGTTGGTCTAAAAGTGACATTTTTGCCCGTCCCTTTTAATAAATGAAATCATTTGGATAGATTTTGTAACCAGCAGATATGAAATCTTGACACATGCAGCTTGGATTGAGGTCGAGACTCCAGAAGCCATGTAGCTCTGGCTACATGTGTAAAGTGTAACTAACCCTCAAATCAACTTGTTTTTTGTTTGTTTGTTTTCTTGATAAACTCTAAACAAGTAGTTAAGGGTTCTGACTTTATATTTCTATTCAAATTTTGGCATTTTTGTGTGGGTTTGTTTAGTTTCCCCTGATGCTGTCTCAGTGCTGCCCCCTTTTGGTCACAAACACGTTTGTCACTTTCCTCTCTACTGTTGCTACATGCATGTTCAATATGAGGAGCAGCTGCAAGCCAACAATAGAAATAAAACTGAACTGAACTGAAATCAATGGAAGCAAACCTTCACCTTGAAAACTAAACACACACATTGATGACATCCATCCAGTCCAGACTATCTGGCTCGTGTTTGCAGACTTTTAGCTCACGCTCCCTTCCTGACAGCAGTGTGACTTCCTAACAGTCTCTGACTTCAGGAGCTGCATGTTTCTTCGGCGCTTTAACCTGAAGGCTTGCGGGGCGTGATGCGAAAGCAAACACAGGCAACAGAGACTGACTGTTGCTGTGCCAGATCAGCAGGACGGTGCTAAACCTCCCTCTGATGGAATCTCTGAGCAGACGCTCACCGCTGCAGGCCTCCGTCAGCGTTTCCACCTGCAGCTCAGCCAGTTAGCTCATACTTTGCTACACAGCCAGTTCCTCTGCCACTGCATAGGTTGATATGTGTTTTACTTAAGTATATGATTCTGTTGATGCAACTTAAAGGGCGTCTGTACGCTTTAGTGCTGGGGGCCTGGCAGGTAGGAATAGAGGAAGAGTAAATCTCTGACAATAATGAAACTAGAAATTTTCTAGAAAAAGCAAGGATATTTCTGAGTTGGAGAAGTCGAAAGTTTGCTAGAAAAACCTCACAAATGTCAAGATTACTCTCAGAAATTTCCTAGAAACATCAAGCAAATTTTTGAATTTGAAAAGTTTAAATTCTGTTATAAAAAAGGCTAAATTAAGCCTAGACTTAATAGATATTTCTGACTTACAAAAGTCTAAAAATTTTTGACTTGTCAAGTTCAGAAAATTTCCTGATTTTTCTCTAAAATGTCTGAGATTGAGCTCAAAATGTCAGTGTTTTTTTTTCTAGTTCATTTTGACTTGAATGGTGGAAATGCACTCATTCTATTTATCTTTCTATAGAAAAGGATCATAAAGCAGCTTCATAGGCTCACTATCCACATTTCATCCTGCTTAAAGGGTCGGTGTCATGCATTGTCCAGGCACTTTGTGCCACTTTATAGCACAACCAAGTAACTGTTATTTTCAGTGGTTATAAAAAAAAACACTAGATATATCAAATGGCTGAAAAGAAATTTATCTTCCTAACATGGTCGTTTATAAAATACAGGTGTGGTAATATGCCTAATTGCTAAATGACATCCTGGTCGACTAAATAAGACCTGATCCAGTCATGACTAGTCCCTCCCACTTTTTAGTTAGAATCTTGTCAAAAAGTAACAGAAATTTCTTAAAGCAATCCAGGTTGAGATGTGTGTGATTTTAAACTATGATCGAGTCTTGTGGTGTGGTCAAAGGTTTACAGGTAACAAAATCGAAAGAGCTGCTTTGGTGCGAAGGTTGTATCTTCTTAGGCAAATATTGTAAACACGCAGCGAGCAAAGTAATGAAGCTCCTCTCATCTCTGCACACAAAGCCTGGCGGAGCTGCTCCGGTTCAACCAGCGTCTTAATGAGACCTGAAAGCCATGGAAGTTTGTTGCCAACTGGGTCACACTTAGTCGGCTATTAAGGGATGAATACAACTTTTTAACAAAACACTAACTGAAGAGCATCAAATGTTTTAACAAAAATCCCCCCCCAAAAAATGATAAAAAATTTCTGGCATCATTTTTGGACCAGGAAGAGGGTGGCATTGTCCTACAAACATCCCACAGTTTGTCCCAGTTACCTGCACCGCAGAGCTGAGGATACGGCTCACACACACACATACACACATACACACACACACACACACCCCACACACACACACACACACACGCACACACACACCCCCACACACACGCACACACACACACACACACACACAGGAAGAATCGGTACGACACAGAAAGACACACTTATACATCTCATCATTCCAGCACTAAACAATTTAAGTCCCATTTGATTTATTTTTCAATCAAAAAATATTATTTCACTGCTATATTATTAACAACACTTTTTTTCAGTTTTATTCCTTTGTGTTTGTTGGTTATTGTGTGACCTGCTCTGTGTTTACCTGTTCAGTTGAAATTATTCATAATATGAGAGTAAAAAGAAAAAAGAAATTCAGGGTTTTTCTGCTTAACCTCAATGAATACATCTCATTTCAAAAAAGAAATAATCTCTCAAAGAGAAATCCAGGCCTTCAGCAGGTTACATATCAAGGGTTTAGCAGAATTCATCTGGATACTGCAGGATCAAGACTGAACATATGCACCATATTTACCATTTGTTCTTCATTTTAGAAAAATACAGATTTAACAGCCTGACCATTTTTATTTCAGCTTAACGAGAACGAGAAGTCTTCCTTTCTCAAATTCCCTGCTCAAAATACAAAAATTTAAAGGACTCTTCTCGAACAAGATTAATGTAATCCTTTTGCATGTAATCCCTCTCTTTCCATACTTGGATAGATTCTTTGGAAAATATGAGATTATGAGATTAATGTTCATCTCACAGCTGAATTTAAGAGCTTAGGAAGCAGACGTGGTCTCCGTTGGTGGAGACAGTCCTCACTCTGTCCAATTAAAATCTTTGGCAGCGAAGAGATTTTAATGCTGTTTGATGTCAGAAACATTCACAAAGAGAAGCAAAAAAAAAAACACATGGTATCTGAAACAGAGGTTCTAGAGGAAATTATAAATATTACATTAGATAGGAGTTTGGTGTGTATATTCTTCACACTGTAGCTCAGAACAGAAAACATACTAAAACAGTAAGTTGGTTTTGACATATGAACTTGTCCTCATGGTGGGGTCTGCTCCCGGACGTTAGGCGCTGCACAGCAGCGTCGCCGGCTGCAGGCTGCTCAGGCTCTTATTCTTCAGCTGTAACGGGCTCGCACATTTCACGACGTACCGGGGCGACATGGCGGCCTTGTTCTGCCCCATCCACCTCACCAGAGAGATGATGTCACAGTCGCACCTCCACGGGTTCTCATGCAGGTACAGCTTCTTCAGCTCTGAGGCGAAGGACACAGGAGACTGTAACCAGGGCACGGGGAGTGGAAGAAAAGGAATTGGGTCCTTCTAACCTGGCATATGGATGAACATGTTTCCGTCCAGGGTCTTCAGGCGGTTTCCGCTGAGTCCAAGCTGGGAGAGCTTGGGCAGGTTGCTGAACACACCAGATGGCAGCTGCTCCAGCTCGTTGTTCCTCAGGTAGAGCTCCTGGTTCAATAAGAAGCTCATTTAGTTTGCCTTATGGATCAAACTTTATATAGAAAACTTGAAGAACGTTGACAGTGTGAGGTCATCTCTTTATGGTGTTTTCACGTCCTAAAAACTCAAGTCCAAAACTGCAACATTTGCCGCATTTTCAGCTGCTGTGGTTTCCTTTCACACTGCTAGTTGTCCAACAATCTGAACTGAATTGAATACATGTTTCCCTCCTCGCCTGTGGTGGCGCTGTGTGAAGAAAACAACATAAAAACCTCTGAAGAAAGCTCTGAGCACAACTTCCTTCTTCACAAAATGTAACTGAAAATGGAGTATCATCAGATTTTAGCGGTTGAAGGATTTATCTCTGGCTGTTGTCTTGCTTTCAGAGCGGTTCCAGGCAGTGTTGCCAGATCTTGCAAGAGAAAGAAGCAACCGGCTCCATGAAAACCAGCCCAACACAGCTTAACATGGCACCTACACAAATCCATGAGATTTTAAAGTGATTTTACAGTTTATGTCACAACACGCAAAGTACCTATCATTTATGTTTTTGCTTTATTATGGGGAGCTGGGAAATAATCTTTTTTTTTTCTCAGGAAAGAAATTCAAGCCCAAATAAGCAGCTTCATGTTCAAAAACAACTTTATAAGAGAACATTTCCAAAGCGTTCACATGCACATTCAAACCTCACCAGAGTTCACTTCAACCAAACCAACCACAGGCGGATCAAAGTTTGTTTTTTTTTGGTCCACATCAGAGTTTGATTTACACTTTCACACCTTCCCAAACGAACCGGACTTTCTAGACAGAGGAACCGGAGTTGAATCAAAGCGGACCAAACAGGCTTGGTGGGAATGCAACCTTAGTGATTGTTTCACATTTCCTGTGAAGGCGACATTGTTGTTACCTGCAGGTTGCTAAGGCCATCCAGAGCTGACTGACTCAGGGTTGACAGGAGGTTGTTGTCCAGAACCAGCATCTCCAGTGATCTCAGTGGCCGGAACGATCCAGATGGGACAGTTTTCAGACTGAGTTATGTGAGACAAATTCTCCAGATTAGTGCATTAATGGGCAGCTGATTACAGGACAATACAACAACAGAGTTCACATCACTGGCAAACAGGTTATTAGAACTCACTTCACACATTTAAAGAAATTAAGACTCAAAAAGATAAATTGCAACAATGTATTTTGAAGTTTTTGTAGCAAATTAAGAACATCAAGTGAGGTCTTTTAGCAACATACATTCAACACCTTGACCTCTTCAACACCCTGAACAGGTCGCAGATTGTGCCAAACAATCCCGATTAATTGAAAACATGTTCCCCTCCTCGCCTGTGGTGGCGCTACACCAAGAACCACTGAAGGAAACGACAGAGTATCTCTGAAGAAGACACTTCCTTCTTCACAAACTGTCAGTGATGCATTCACATCTCCCACATCCAACCGGACTTTCTAGGCCAATAAACTGCCATTAGATCATTTAATGGACTAAACAGTGTGAATTAGCTCTCCAGCTTTCAGGCTTCATTATAAAGCTGGAGAACATCTCTGTTCATCTCAAGTTTCAATTGGATCATTCAAATCCAAACTGTTTTTATCTGTATAGTGCCAAATTACAATGGGTTTGACATTCCAGCTCTAGAGCACTCCACTATAGATCATTGTCCTACTGTAAGGTGATGCTCCAACCAGTCTCTTGTTCAGCTTCCAACAGATAAATATAGGACAATGAATGATCTCTATTGTGCATATTATTTTGTATGGAAGACAAATTGTTTAATTTAGGTCGCACATTCTTTTTGTTGCTTATATTATGGCTGTAATGTGACAAAATGTGAGAAGAACAAGAGTATAAATCGCACCGTGAGGTGCTGTATTTTGTAGGTTCATCCTGTTCATATATTGAATTTTTTTCAATACTTGAATACCATATGTTATAGTGACCTGTTGTTGTCCAGATTAAGGAACAGGAGCTGTCTGAGTCCAGTGAAGGCTTTGGGAAAGATCCTTTGGATTCGATTCAGGGAAAGGTCCAACACTTTGAGGGCAATCAAAGGTTTGAAGGCGTTAGACGGAAGCGCTGTCAGCGCGTTAAGAGGTAGATCAAGGTCAGAGAGGTTCCTCATGCCAGCAAACATCTCAGATTTGAGAATCCCAATCTGGTTCTGGCCCAGCATGAGGAAACGAAGGTTCAGGAGGTCCTGCCGGGAGGTAAAAAGTAAAAATGAAAACAGAGTTTTGGTCAGATTACGGTGTAGAATGGAGGAACACACTGTCCTTTTATTTTTGACCACCTTACCTGAAACCCCTGTGGGGGGAGCACTGTGATGTGGTTGCCATAAAGGTTGAGCAGCATCAGTTGCTTGGCACCAGAAAAGGCTTTGGGATGGATGGATTTGATTGCATTTCGTTCCAGGTTGATGCTCTCAATCTTGGGTGCTGATCTAAATGAATTGGCCTTTAGGGTTGTTATGCCATTCTCACCTTTTTGCAGAAATGGGAAAGAAAATATTAGTTTTGCATCTACCTCAGTAATAAATGACTTCAGAGTCAAATACACTCAAATGTAACTTAGACATATTTCGCAGAACGACCTGATCATCCGAATGCCACTCACCCAGTTTGAGGATCCAAGTGTCCGGAGGCAGATTGGAGGGAAGACTTCGAAGACCCTTTTTATGACAGTTGACTTCTGACTTTTCTGGGCCGGACTTCCTGGAGCATTTGCAGACATCGGGGCAGCTTACCACAGCCTGCGCCATGCTAAGAAAGATCAACGCCAGCTGAGTCCAGGGCAGCATCTTCACTGCAAAATGAACAATGAAAAAAAAATTCAGCAAAGAAAAATGTTCGAGTTTCTTTGAGTTCAGTAGACAATAAAAAACGTAAAGGAGCATTGAGAACCAGCACAGCAGATTCTTTGCATTTTAGCCGTGCTGCATTTAGCTGATCAGACGCTGAAGCATGAGAAAAACTGTTTTACTGCCAGGATGGTTCAAACATCCAGCCAGGATTCTTGATTTCAAATGTATTTAATATATTTAACAAACTGTGTTTTTCTACAAGTTGACGTGATTTCCTGAAGACATGAAGAGCTTACAGTAACACTGAGTCATATTATAGTTTTGTCTTCAGAGATGCAGTATCTTCTTTACAGCTGATCTTACTGGAGAGGCTCGATTTGAGTTGGTTGTGAGTAAAAAATACTTTAAAGAATCTCTTAAGGTTCAGAACAACATATAAGCAGCAAAATATACAGACTGGTGTGAGTCCTTATCTATTTTTTACATGTTTCTATTGAGCCACTTCCGTGGTCAAAGGGAATGCAGCCACTGTCTTCTGAGAGTTTAATGCTTGTTGGTCAGAAGTCTGCATGGAAACACGGTTTAGCTGTGGCATGAATACTGGTGCAACTACAAGGCACTGCACTTAAAAACACCCATCTTCAGTGTTTCCACTCATCATAAATTCAGTTGTCGTTTTTGAAAATATTTCACAGTATTTCAAATGCTTACAGGTGGGGGCGGAGCCAGGGAGTGAGTGGGTGGCCCTGACCAGTCACTGGCCACGCCTACCAAGGGATGTGTAACAGCAATACACTCTGATATGTATTAATACAGCAAGACTTTCAAGAAAATACTTTCTGTTAAAGTGACAGCAGTCCCATCCTGGCCATCCTTATTAAACTGTTCTGGCTCCACCACTGTTTACAAGGCAAAGTATTTGGTAGTATATATTTGTTTTTAATTCAATTAATTTTGTAAAAAAAAAATGACTATTTGAAAAAATTTACCTCAGAAAATCATTTTAAAAGCTTTAAATCTCTATGTGATGATCACAGAAGAGTTGATGATAACAGATATGAGCTAAAACATGAAACAGTGAGGAATAATCAGCTTGTAAAGGGCAAAAAAAACAAACCTGATGTCAAACTATATGCCAACATCTTCCAGTGGGATTTCAAAATAAAACACTTATTTAGAGATAATGTTTGCATGATTATCTTTTCAGTTCAGTCTGCACATTTAAAAGCTCATGACAAAAGAAAAAATAAACAAACTCTAAGTGTTTTCCTTCCCTTGGAGCTGCTTACCTGGACAGGTTGCCATCCCACTTTCAGTGTCTTCGCTTTTTTGTTGTCACAAGCACAACCTCCTGAAATTTAATTTCCCTTTGGGCTCAATAAAATGTGATTGAATTGAGTCCCAATCTGTTCTGCAAGCAGCAGTTGATGGTCTAAAGCAGGAAGCTCAGCTGTCTGGTCCTTGAACTATGAAGTTCTCACACAATGCTCCTTTCAGACTCAGAATTCACTGGATGTTTCGCTCTGCCAGCCGTCTGAGTGATGAGGATCAAGATCTGCAGAATGTGAGCTGAGAAGGAACACAGAGCAGACAGTGAGACCAAGGTGCGAAACGACCGGAGGTCCAGGTTCTGTAAAGTAACAGAGTACGGAGAAATGTGGCATTTACAGATTATGGCTCAGATCCATGTTAAACACGGGGGTGGAAAAACTTATGCTTGGTTTTTCTTCAATCAAAACTAAAGTTTTAGAGAAATTTAAGGTGAATGCATCAGCAATAAATGAGTCAACGTTACTTTCCTGTGGTTGAATCGTTGTATCAAGTATGGATTTTCCTCCTTACCAAGTAAATGTCGGGTTTGATGGCTTGCTTCTAATTGAAATGATGAAGTTTGCCTTCATTTCTCATCCGTTTGAGCCAGAGATCGAAGGAATAATCCCCATTTCTCTTTGAGGGAGAGTTCAAACCGCACTTGCTGATGCTGAGCTTGAACTGATTCTCTGTGCAGCCAGAGGTCATGGAAGGACAGGTCACATACCAAAACAGACAAAAAAGAAGAAAGCGACTAAGTGTTAGAGCTTGATGTACATAAAAAACATAAACCTCTAGATTTGTCATGATAACTGACACTCTTTAATTCTCCTCTTCATTCCAGTATATGATGATGACTCCTGATTACTTTGATGGTGGCGTTCGACAAAATGCCATGTTTGTTGCTTGTTTGCTGACACCGACAAAATTGTTATGTTTCTGTCATGTAAAAAACATTGAAATGTCTTCTTCTCAAAAAGTCCTGTACCGAGAAACCCAACCCGACTTGCTAAAACTTTACCGTGTAATAAAGAAAAATGCATGTAAGTCTGACTGAGTCACACTGTGGGCCTGGAATGGAACAAAATTGAAGCAGTTAAATGTCAGAAATGTGTAAACTTGTAAAGCATTTGACCTGAGTCACAGTTTAGAAAACAACATCATTGAATGCAGAGGAAATGCAAGTAATTTTCTGACTCCACTCAAAATAAAAAAAATAAAATAAAAAAAAGTCATTCTGTTGTTCAACATAATTTTTGAACACTTCTAGTTTTAAACACACACAAATATGCATTCTGGGTATAAACACATATACAAGTTAGCCATTTACAATGTTGCTTTAGGTCTAAATTCACCCACTTTCTTTTCAAACCTGCAATAATTTCTAACCTTGACTTCTTCATGCATCTGTTCCTCTCATTTCATTTCATCACTGAACTCTGCAGGAGTGAATTACTGGTCTTCAAACTTACTAAAATGTCAGGAGCTACTTGATCTTTAACTTTTAAGCACAATAAACCTCTTGAGATCAAAGATCTATTATAAGTCCTGACAATGTCAAGACCAAAATCAATGTAACCAAATCAATGTAACTTAGTCATCCTGCTAAATATGAAATCCTTGAAGGAAAATGAGAAGTGTAAAGTTGATCCTAAAGTCCAAGCTACTGCTTCTCTCACTCTTAATTTTAAAGTCGGTGCAGACTTCAGAACCAGAAATCCTCCTGAACACAGATGCTGGTCCTTCTGGGAAAGCTGGATTTTGGATATCTCTCCTGCCAGGCCGCGCTCCATCAGGCTCTCATCCATCCTGTGGATCATCAAGCTCCCTGTTTATCTCCACTCTCTCTCTCTCTCCTGAGAGTGAGAGAGAGAGTGGAGTCTCTCTCTCTCTGCTCCTCCCACGCAGTTCTCAGCCTCAAGTCTCAGTCGCATCAGTCGCCTCAGCCAGACGAGGAATAACTTCCCTCTCCTCCTCCAGATGAAATCGCTCCTGAGGAGATGCAGATCTTCATCACGTTTCTCCCTGCTCACATAAACCCTTTAGGCGCCTGATTCTGCGTGTGGGTCAGGAAATTAAATCCCAGTTTTGGTGGTTTTTATATTTGCTTAGTGATTTTAAGATATTTGATCTGGAAGGATAAAATATCTGTAATTTTTTTGTTGTTATTGTTTTTTCAAACCTAAGCATTTTACTGAAACTGAAAACTATTTGCATCATTTTCACCAGCTTCACAATCACAGCCCTGTCGCCATGGCGTCAAGTTCAGGGCAGGCTCAGCCCGTTGTTAAAGTCCTTCAGCAGACTCACAGCACAGCTTTGACTAATTAAAAGTTCCATTCATCACTATGTAAATGAGTTACATGATCACACAGTAATGGAGTGCAGTGTGAGTAATGAGATAGATTAGAGAATATTTTAATAAAATCTGTCATAAGAGCCCAGGGGAAAGCATCATAGTCAGAGTTAAAGTTTGCAGATTAGGATCAGTTTGGTGCATAATGATAATCTTACCTTGATACTGAGATTAGAATGATTAACTGTGGCAACATTTTCTGTAGAAATGTTTTATTTTCCCAGACCAGAGGAACCTGGTGGGTGGCTGTAGAGTATGGAGGTATTTTTGGTACAAACTTATTTGCGTCTTGTAACTGAAGTTGCAGTGAGAAAGAAAAGTCCAATAGGAATTTTGTAATTGTAGATTTGTTTTTTCTTTTTACTTTTTTTCTACACCTCTTCAAAAGTTCAAGTGCAGGAACACAAAATGTATTGTGAAAAAGTCCAACGCTTAGAGTTTTGCCCCCCAAAAAAGATCCAGTTGAAACGCAGGGAAAAATGATTAACTTGTGACTATTTCTTCGTCGCTCACAGACACAAAACTCCTCAATCCTGAAAGTCACAAGATGCTGGATTTTTTATTCTTCATGTATGTTCAGTGCAGCTTAGCCGTATTGATCCACACAGAATAGTGGCACTCAAAACTGTAAAACAAAACAAAATCAGTAAATGCTTGAGTTTCCTTGTGGAAAACTTTATAACTGCCTATTTCAGTCGTTCAAAAACTAAATGTACATTTATATGTGTCAATGCGCTCGGTGGAAAGTTTCCTGGCGCTGTGTCAGAAGCGAGCATCGACTTCCTCCTGCAGCCAATCAGCTTTGAAACAGACAGGAGGGCTGCTGCATTGGCATGCTGTACAGGATATTAAAAACATCAGAGAAATGGCTTCAACCTCACTTCAAGTGCATTA